ATAAAGCTGTGTCTGTATAATGTTGTATTAGTTTGTGGAACTTGATTCTGAGTTCCATCTTTAATTTTGAAATCACATCTGAAATAAGCATCGGAAAGAAGTAACCAATTTGATAATGAATTTATTTCGAAGGTAATTCTACCACCATCATTCAATTGGGATTTAGAACCAACAGTCGGTGAGATGATCATATAATCCTCTTTTTTCTTGTTAAATGAATAACGAATCGGATCGTATAATCTAAAGATTGGATCTAGTATTTTATTTGCCATTTTTAAGGTTTAAAAATTGAGTAGAAATTTTCCAAAAAAGAGTTATCTCCCTTCTACATTATTTTAAAACCAGATGTTATTTTATATAAGGGTATTTTTAATATGCTTTTTTTGATGGAATGTAGGAAATTGATTGAAGGTGTTTTTTGGTGTAAGAATTTTATGAAATGTAGGGTGTTTTATGAAATGTAGGGAATTTGGGTCTTTTTTAAGTGTAAGAATTTATGTAATGTAGGGAATTTACGTCTTGTTTTTTGGGAGTTCATAGATTGGTTGCATTTTCCCATGAAATGAAATGAAATGTGGAAAAATGCGACCAATCTATGAACCCATATACTCACATTCGTAGAAGAAGAAATTCTTTCTTCAGCTTCAACTGGTCAATTTGTGAAAAGAAATAAAACAATTTAACATTTTGTCTTTTGGAGAACTTTAAAAACTCACCCTTGAACAAAACCTGCTTTTCGAGCATTGGTTTTCCCTGGTTTTCCGGCATCTTCGTGGTAAAATGCATCAAGATTCCAGCGATTTTTTGGCACTTCAATCACATGATTTTCACCATTTTTGAGAACTTTCCAAAATTGGTCGATGTCATCTGCTCCTGGGAAACGACACCCAACACCGACGATGGCCACTTTGAAAGCCATTAATCTGATAGAAAATAAGTACATGTACAACTTATATAAGCATAATTGAATAGATAGCAAAAGACAGAATTCAACTCCGTTCCCAACAAGGAATGCTTATTTTGAAAATGATGCACAGAGCTGTAAATTCCCTCGACTTTTTGCGAATATATTTTTTTGGCAGCCATTATTAGCTTTGTACCACGTATGGGTCGATTCTAAGTTGTTAAATACTAATTAAAATTAGATTACAATTTTGTATCTTTTTTTTCTTATATTTTTTTAGTCTACATTTTAACATATGTAACAATGTAACGGTGTCCCCTCACTGATGCTGCTGTTGGTATAAGGAAGTTTGATGGGACTGTTGATAAAGCATGATGACCTTATTTGCTGCACGCCGTTCTTGTTGAGAAGGTCGTTCTAATTGACGTGTCACTGTCGACACACCACACACCTTTCAACGAGGGAGGTAAATCGTCAATATTCCGTTAACCTTTTCTGACGTGGTCATTATGGCGTAGCATAACAAGACTGTAAGCTTCAAGATAAAAAAGTGATCGCATTTGTAAACTGATTACATTTTCTCACCAAATCTATGCTTGTTCATGAAAATGAATGGCATTCACAGTCAAAGTCCGATAGCGGCACTCATCGATTATAGAACCGGAATCGGAAAAAATGAATCAATGTAGAATTTGACATAAAAACTGCACATGAAATGCAGGTTAAAATGAAGATAGCTTGCCAGCAAGGTAACATACGCCCACTATACCAGCTGTCAGAAATGATGACAAAGTCTGTATTGGTTTGTTATGTGAAACCAATCATACGATAGTTACTATCAAGTTTCATCAAGATGGGATAAAAAATGTAGTCTCTATCAGGCTTACAAGCCAAATTAGGCACAATGAAAAAATTCAAGGACAATAGCTCCAAAAGAGTTCATCCGATTGTTATCAACTTCGAACTTCACTGAGATCATCAATATATACATGCATACCAAGTTACATCGAGATCAGATAAAAACTGTATCATGACTACAAGCCAAATTTGATGCGTTTTTTATTAAGTCAAAGGCAATAACTCCAAAAACGTTTATCCGATTAAGACCATATTCAAACTTGACCGAGATCTCATCAATATATTTTCAAGTTTCATTAAGATCTGATAAAAACTGTAGTCCATAGAATGCCTACAAGCCAAATTTGACGTGTCTTTTACTAAGTCAAGGGCAGTAACCCTGAAATAGTTCATCCGATTATTACTAATTTCAAACTTGATCGAGATCTCATCATTTTATACATGCATACTAAGTTTCATCAAGATGTGATCAAATTTGTAGCCTTCATCGGGCATACAAGGCAAATTTAACACATTTTTACTAGGTCAAGGGCAATAACTCATCGCTCATCCGATTATTACCAATTTCGAATTTGACTGAGTCTTATCAATATCTACAAGCATACTAAGTTTCATCAAGATCGGATAAAAATTTTTAAACTTTAGCATGCATACAAGCCAAATTTAACGTGTTTTTACTAAGGGCAATAACTCTGAAACCGTTCATCCGATTATTACCAATTTCGAACGTGACCGAGATCTCATCAATATATACATGCATACCAAGTTTCATCCAGATCAGATGAAAGCTGTAGCCATTTCCATGTGGGCGTATAAAAATACATTGGGAAAACTATAACGATCAGAGACCACATAAACCATGACATGTTCAACGGGTAGTTGTCCTACAGACTATACTATGTTAGTGTTTAATATGACAGATATTCGTAAAAAGGCTCTTAATACCTGGTGGGTTTACTAGATTGAAGTTATAACCTCGTCACATTAAACCCAATGTTAATATGACAATTTCTTATTACAAACTAAAAAAAAAGCCACTTGGATGTATTCGTTTTATCTCAATATTGACATGTACATGTATTTTAGTGACAGTGGAAAGAATGTGTTCACCGTGTCGCAGGAATAATATACCATTATTTTTAAAAAAATATCCAGAATATAAACAATGCGAGAAAGACTTGTTGTGAACTAGAAAATAGCTGTGACAGGAGTTTCTGCAAGATATAGATATAAGGAATGGAACCCAGATATTCAACCCAAGAGGAAAATTTAAAAAAAGATAGCTCGCCAGGCAAGGTAATATACGCTCACTGGCAGCTTTGAGTTTGAATAAAAATATTTGGCAGTACAGTAAAAATCACCAGTATGAAATATTAAACCTTCAATCATACATTTCATTTGAACTCTTTGGTGCGATACTATATAATATTTAGCATGAGTTATTGCCCTTGTTCTTGAAAACATGTTCAATTTTTAGCTATTGAAAACTCTAGAAGGCAAATATTCAACCATCAGCGCGGTACTGAATAATAATATAAAGTTTTGCCAATTCGGCAAGAATCCTGCCTTATAGTGTTAAAGTGTTTTCAAGAATGAGGTCATTAACTTTTATGAAACATTTTTCGATTTTTTTTATTTTTGATAGGGTTCATACTTGGGTGTTAACACTCACACCAAATTGCGTCAAAATCTGAACGCGTTCTCAGGGACAATAACTCTTATTAAATATTTTTCGATTTCCAATTGGATTTATCCTCTGGTGATAACAAACACTCACACCACGTTTCGTCAAAATCCGTCAAGAATTGTGTCTTGTAGAGTTTTTACGAGCTAATAATTGAACGCGTTTTCAAGAACAAGGGCAATAACTCATACTTAATATTTTTGATTTTTCTGATTTTCTATGGGGTTTATCCTTGGGTGATTACGGACACTCACACCAAGTTTTGTCAAAATCCGTCAAGAATTGTGTCTTGTAGATTGTTTACGAGCAATTGTGGAGGAACCGGCGGACGGACGGACATGGATGATGGCAATATACGCCCCTGCTTTCATGTGGGCGTCTAAAAATTCAAACAAAAATGTCTTCAATAAAATTCCACACTCCACTTATTTTGGCTCAGGAGATATTCAAAAATCTTCATTTTGCTTCGTTTTAATATGGAACAAATGGATGTATGTGTGCAAATAGATGAATTCCTTTCAGAAATTGGTGATGACACGAGTGTAATAGTCTAACCCTTAACCGGTCACGCGTCGAGTTTGGCGACAGACGTCAAAATTGCTAACCGGTCAAGCGTCGACAAAAGTCGACACGTTATTCTACTGAATACAAATCCTCCTTTTAATCCAATCGCTGATACAAATGCTCCAGTCGACACTTAACTGTCGTAAACACCCTGTTCTCTCATTTCCGTCAACGAAATTCGTTATCATAGAAGTGTTTGGATATTTTTGTGGTTTTTTGAAGATGCAGCGTCAGGTAATGAATTTTTTTTTAGCGTTACGTTACGTCATATGGAGGATAAAATTATGCCGCTGAAATTGTTTGTTTGAGTATGAAAGACTGTTTAGAAACAAAAACAATCAAAATGGCGGCTGTTTATTTGTATTTCTGCCTTTATGACCGTTTTTTTGTGTAAGAAATCGCATCAGATGTGTATTTTATTTGAAATTCCCGGAGTGAAGATCAAGTTTTGAATGTTCAGTTCAAATGTGCATGGGTCTACTGTCTTGAAATCTTATATTTCTTTATATGTAATAAAATATATCAAATAGATCTACTAGACAAATGACATGAACTGTTTTTTTTTTTAACTAGGCTTACATCAAACTAGATCTATTTCTTACGAAAGCCGGGTCAGGACTTCCAACTTCCGACTTCCAAGTTTTTTTTTTTCACTTCCAACTTCCGATTTCCAAGTTTTTTCCGCCAGCGAGCTGGTAATAAAGCCTACGCTTTTGTGATCATATCCAATGTTTTGAGTTCTTTTTAATATAAAGCCCACTTTCTAATTGGGGCATATATTGTCGGCACAATTAACAGTTCACTTTTGTGACAAAAGATGAGGAGTTTCAACCCTTGATACATGGATATTATGTTAATTGATAGAAGTCACAGTTGTCATCTGATCTCAATAAAATTTGGTTTAATTTATATCTAAGAGTCCTTAGACATGTTCAAATTAAGGTATGATTCAACTCAGGATAACAGAGTTTCACAACTGGTCCGCTATGCTAGAGCTTGTTCTCTTTATAAGGACTTTCTGGCAAGAGGTCGAATATTAACCGTGATATTACTGAAACAGGGTTACTTGACACAAAAACTTGAAATTTCTTGTAGAAAATTTTATGGTCGTTACGGAGAACTCCAAATCTGCTTCTTGCATTTTGGCAGATTTGTTTAGTCAGGCATGAACTCATGATTTTGACCTTTATAGTAGTGGCGGGTGTCGCGTGCGAAACAGACCATGCTTACTCTTTTCGGATTTGTTGGGCTGCTGGCAAACGAACAATAGAGGGTCTAATTTCTCACTTAAAGCTATCATGCTGTGATTATGCTTATCATATCATTACAATCGTGTACAATATTATTTGATGTCTTTGTATCCTTTTTCTCTAGGTATAACTTTACGTTCCCTTGGAGACCTTGCCAAGTAATAACCCTGTACAACTAGAAAGTCTTTCCAGAGAGGAGCTCATTGGTGTATATTTTACAAAGAACTTTTCCTATCAAGAAATTTCAAAAACGCTTTTACTTCACCACGGTATACAATTAAGCGTGAAACACCTGATGCGGATACTCAGAACTTTGGGTCTAGAAAACATATTTGTGAAGCCAGTCCTTTAAAAGATGTTGTCCACGCCGTGAAGAAAGAATTGAATGGGAGTGGAAGTTCTCTCGGATACAAATGTATGTGGAGAAAAATAACCTGAATCCACGGGTTAACTGCTAAGAGAGATACTATTCTTGACATTCTTCGCCTGTTGGATCCTTCAGGAATTGAAAGGAGAAACGCTCATCGTTTAATTAGAAGAAAATACTCGTCACCTGGTCCTAACTTTATATCATGGCATATCGTTGGATATGATAAGTTAAAACCTTTCGGATTTGCTATAGAGCTATAGTTATAGCCGGAAAGTCCTCTGGCTTGAAGTTAGTTACACCAACAACGACCCTGCAGTAGTAGCGTCTTACTACCTAGCGTGTGTCAAAGAAATAGGTTACGTTCCAACGGTTGTTAGATGCGATCCGGGTACAGAAAACTCCCTAATAAGATGCCTGCGACCATTTTTTAGGAGAAGTTCTGACGATGAATTGTCTGGCATCAGATGTTTCCGCCAAGGTAAAAGTACAGCAAATCAACGAATTGAGGCCTGGTGGTCTATCTTAAGAAAACAAGGCACAGACTTGTGGATAGCCTTCTTCAAAGACGTGTGAGATTCTGGAATCATGCATGAGGATCATTTCTTACACACAGCATGTTTACGGTTTTGCTTTAAGCATTTACTGCAAGCAGAAATACACATGCTTGCCACCCAGTGGAATTTACACGTAATAAATACTAAAAGGAATGCTGAAGGTGACAGTGGAAAACCTGATTTTATGTTCTACAACCCAGAAGTAAATGATACCCATAACTATGGTGTACAAATTGATCTAGAAGACGTAATAGCCTGCCACAACCAATGTGCACAACATGATCGATTCGGATGCTCTGGAGACTTTCTGGAACTGGTCAAATTATTACTTACATACATACATTTACCCAGAAATACCGACCAGACTGTCTCGTTTTATGTAGAAATAATGCGTAATATAAAGCAATATATTTGAAAGAAACAAAAGTTTAATTTAAACAAATGAAATTATATGTATCTCGAAAATCTCGAGAGAAAATCTACGTGTTGAACAACTTTAAAATAATAGCACTGCTTTGATTTGAGCATCATTTGCCTTTTTTATTTTTTCCAGTTGGAATTATGGGTTAGCATCAATCTAACATGAATAATAATAAAATACAAACAAATGCTCACTGAACAGTAAATAAAAGTTCTTTTGCTGTAAATCTTTTTTATGGGACTATAACATAAACATTTCTTAACACCAGTCTGCCACTGGCTTGAGGCTGAGGTAGAGAGATATGTTACGGCAGTTGGTAGATGTTGATCCTTCATGTTTCTTTTGATGAAAGACAGGATATCAATATCACCATCCAAACTTACATGAAAATTGATTAATGTGCCGTTTTACTGGCAATTTTACCAGTATTGTGATAATGAAGAGAATGTTCCCTTTATCTACGAAATAGCCATCAAAGGGCAATAACTCCCGAAGTGAAAAAAACATCGGAAGTCGGAAGTGAAAAAAAAAATTGGAATTCGGAAGTCGGAAGTGAAAAAAAAACCTTGAAAATCGGAAGTTGGAAGTCCTGACCCGGCTTTCATAATTTCTATGTGAAGTGACTGAAAACATTATATTCTGAGCTTTTACTTTGATTTCCAAATGAAATTGTTGAGCTAAGCGTATTGTTTTCTTTCTTTTGTAGGTATATCAGTAATGGGAATCTTAATCTGGAGTGAAATTTGTCCTACCACATTTGAAAAAAAAACACATGTCATTGTTTCATTTAAACTTTTAAAAGGAAAATGTATGAAACTAAGTAAGTAAGCTTTTACTTTGATTTCCAAATGAAATTGTTGAGCTAAGCGTATTGTTTTCTTTCTTTTGTAGGTATATCAGTAATGGGAATCTTAATCTGGAGTGAAATTTGGCCTACCACATTTGAAAAAAAAACACATGTCATTGTTTCATTTAAACTTTTAAAAGGAAAATGTATGAAACTAAGTAAGTAAGGTATCCGTCACACGTCAGTATGTCAGTAAACACGCCAGTATATACGTCACACACGTCAGACACGTCAATACGTCGATGCATAGAACTGAATGAATGAACATTTTCCTAATTAATTCAAATAGTAATATTTTTAAGAAGTTTTAATATTGATCATCATGATGCACGTTGTTATGTTAGTCGAAATTATGATTTTTTTTGTGTGACTTTGTGCGACTTTGTGCGATCATCGCTTTCAAGTTCCGACTATATGTAAAATATTAGTACTGAGTATTTTTGACGTTTCAGGAAATCCTGAATATTTATTTTTTAAAAAACAGAAATCAATACTGCTTTTTTAATAATTTATATTCTATGATTGTGAAAACTCAGGCCAGGTCCATCTAGCCTTGGGTCTTAGGGGGAATATTTTTGGAAAATTAATTGAAAATAATTTAGAAAATAATTTAGAAAAGGGCTAAGTATTCTTTCAATATTATTGCAATGGAATAAAGAATTTTCCACACATAATAGATACTTTTGACACAAACAGACATGCTAACCGTCTAAGAAAAAAAATTTTTTTTAAGTGAATTGTAGTATCAGATTCAAAATAGTAGGCCTACTGTTAGTCTTAGAATGTCTTTATGATTATGTTGAGAAAAATATATCTTTTTGTAAGTTTAGATTGAAAAGAAGCACATTCATTTGCCTCCTAGATATTTCAACCAATCACAAATTTTGACTAAAAATTGAGTTCACTGTCATTAAGGCACACATACTTGAAGCACAAGACAGTTAAACACAGTACTTTAGGGACAATACTTTTAGGAACACGTTCATTTGGGTACAGATCATATAGGCACAGCGTTAGGGGGATTGGGGAATGCCCCTTAAAGGTTCATTATATTTTTATGAAAGCAAAGACATTTTAAGATTAACAATACTATTTTGAGGATGCTATTCCAACTCTCATAAAAATAATAGAAAAAATTCAAAAATGTTTTTACTTTGCTAAGACAATAGTCGTTTGGACTTATGCAAGAACCAAAATTGGCAATATCTGACACTAACGTCTTCGTTCCTTTGTCTATAAATCGAATTTTACTGATATTTTAATGAAATCTGGAAAAAAATTAGTACTAATATTAATGATTTTTACCACATATATACATATAAACATGAGCAATGGTCAATGGCCACCTTCTAACTACACACAGGCCTCGAGGCAAATATATTATTCTTGTTATAGTGTATTATTATTTATTGTGACTTTTGTATTATATTTTGAATAAATTGATGCTTTTATATTGTCAGTTAATAAAAACTGACAATGTGATCAAGAAGATGATTGTTACAGATAGCCTTGTACTCCTGTAGATATGCATGATCACTATCAGTTACTTTTGTTTTAAGATTCCAGTTAATATTCAGTAATATTCCTAGCTATGTTTTCAATTTTGTACATTGGTAAAAAAAAAACACCATGCACATCAAAAGAAATACCTTACTAATAATAATAAATCATTTACACAAATATATAGTAATAAGTTATTTTTAGAATAGAGTTTTATCAATAAATACAAGTATTATTAGATATTAGATACAAGTTGTATGCTGAAGTTGAATTAACTTGACATTTCCTCATGACCAGATGTGGCCCTTCTTCTCCACAAACGCAAGTAGGTTTGCACCCTTCGTCATTCATGGTTTAAGTCATCCAACTAGACAAAAATGACACTTCAACAGGGGTTCTTAATGGAGGAGAGCAACGGGTCTGACTTTCTTAAGCAATTATTTTGGACATTATTAAGGTTGCTGTACAAAATGAGCGAAGAGAGAGTTGTAGGCCTACATCAAAGTTAAATTAAACTTGAAAAATTCATATCACCCCTGACTAGTGTCTAAGAATTACAAAAAAATTGTGGCAAAATTAATGTGACCTAGCTCCTCTACTAAATGAAATAAAATGAATGCAGTTTTACGTCTTTAAGGGGTCTTTAAGGTGCACAGCCTGTATCTCACAGGGCCTCAATTTATTGTCTCATCCGAAGGACTTGACGCTTTTCCCATGTCAGCCCCTCTTACCTGTATCACTGACGGGGGAAAACAGAGTAGAAAAATCTGTACTATCTCGACCTATGTAGGATTGAACCCTGGACCCATAGGAACTGTAAGACCTGGAAACATTATCAGGGCCCTAAGCCTAGACTAGAGCTATGCCTATCCTTTTTTTGTAAAATCTTGAAAAAATGTTTCATGGAATCATGCATTGGTACCTCATAGATTCATAATCGTATTAAGAATAATTTTGTTAGTTTTCTTTCTCAGTCTGAAATTTTCGTGTGAGAAGACCCATATTTTTGACAGAAAAAATTACCCTCTGCAAAATCATTTTTCCAAATAATGTTTTTATTTCTTTTCATTCACCATAGACAATCTTCCACTCAAATGATATTTAAATTCTTCAAAAACTTAATTGGCGAAATAGTCAATTTTGGTCTGACAGTAACTAAGTAGGCCCACCTAAGCCTAGTTTAATATTTATTATTATAATATTCATGTATCAAATATTACCATATTGATATACATGTATATTATTTCTAACATATCAAACTAAAAGATGACACTGATTGAAAATGTGTATAATTAGATTTTCATTGAAAATTGTCAATTAGTTACCTTAACCTTATAACTTATGTTTATAAAAACTACCACATCAAAAAACGAAATGTCAAAATACTTGCAAATCAAATCGTCATTCTTTACAATCATTTCAATTCAATTAGTGCCGTGTACACATTTAAGAACTATTACTAATTAAAGAAAAAAAGAATATTTTCTCAATGATTGGGTTTATCAAGAAAGCACGGAGTGGATCCAGTGAAAAAGTTGTAGCTGCGTCAAAACAAAATAGTCTTTATCAATCGCAGTCCACCGGAAAAGTTAACAATAACAATATAAACTATGTGAAATCTCTTTTTAAAAAAAATGATTATTCTATCATAAAGTGGCCTCAGGTGTTCCAAAAAAAAAATTCCGTCAGTCAAGAATAGAAAATAGCTGCTGATCCAGAAAGATTTAACATTCGTTAATACATCATTACCATGTCTTTATTACACGTCGGTCCACAAGAAGAGTACAGACTACGTGAACTCTCCCAAAACAATTGCTTGCTTGACAGACTCAATCGCAAACTGGGATAAGGTGTTCCAGAAAGGTTTAACATGCCTTTAAACGTTTAGGTCGATTTTAAATCACACCTCAGTAAGTAAAAACATCAGTACGTCAGTAAACACGTCGAAGAACTAGTCTTCGTCACACGTCAATACGTCAGTACACACGACCAGTTCTTTGACATGTTTACTGATGTACTGATGTTTTTACCTACCGAGATGTGTACTATTCATAGAATCGTCTATAATTGTAACAATATCCGGTATGTAGCGAGTAGTGCGAAACACCACTACCGCTGAATCAGAATCCTTTATTATCCATTAAAATAACCTAATTAAAATAGGATGAGTTTAATTTTAAAGCACGAACAAGGCAAATTCAAAACGGATTATTCAGGCGACGGTTTCTTTTCAGCTCTATCTTCTCTAATTCCAAAAGTATCCAACTTTGTTTGAAACAACAAATCACTTATTTCTTGTGGAGCGCAAGATCTAGGTTCTGTTGCAAAAGCAGGAATTTGTATAAACGATGCAGTGAAAAAGTCCGACGATTTGAAAGAATTACAGCAAATACGAGAACTATGAAACAGGAGAATAGAAAAACGAGCTTTAGAAAAAGAAGAAAAACGAGCTTTAGAAAAACAAGGAAAAGGTTTTAAAGTTATAGGATAATTTCTATTCAAATTTTAAACCTAAAAAATGGCAAATAAAAATTACAGATTAGATCCAATCTTTCAATTATATGATCCAATTCAATATTCATTTAATAAGAAAAAAAAAGGATTATATAATTACCTTACCCACTGTTGGTTCTAAATCGCAACTGAATTAATTCATTATCGAATTGGTTGTTTCTTTCTGATGCTTATTTCAGATGTGATTTTAAAATCAAAGACGGAACTCCCAATCAGAACCGAGTTCCATAAACCAACACAACATTAAAAAACAATTTCTTCCCAACTTTATTTATCGAAAGCTGACTCAAATCCTATAGAAACCATTAAACACCCTGGTGAATTTGATACAATGTTGAAAACAGTTCTATATCCCAAAAACTTCGATTCATTTTCTGGATGGATACCTGGTGTTGGTGATGGAAGTGTTTTAAAAAAGCCGGTAAGAAATGTTTCAAATTTCTTCAGATGAAGTACTATTGAGAATGGTTTTTGGGGTAATTACGTAAATTGGAATTTATATCCTTTATTTGGTCTGTTGGAACACAGAAAAGTTTCCCTAGGATTACCATATAAAATTCATCTACAAAGAGTTATCGGTGATGATGAGATATTCTTTTGAGAGAATACTTCAAATGCAAATTAGAAATAAGGAATCTCCAACTTTATATACCGGTAATAACTTCTTCAATCGATGTAGAAACGAGAATATTCAACATATTGACTAAAGATACTGAAATAGATTTTCTTCGTCGTAACACGTTAGGTAGCATGACTTTAACTGGAGAATCCACTACTTGGCCAATCACCAATACTATTAAACCAGCAAGCTATTTCATGGTTGGTTTCAAGAACTTGCCAGACTCTCAGACGAATAACAATAATATCTTTAGGGTAGCAAAGAACCAAGAGCAAGATCCTATAGTCCATAAAGTTCAAGTAAGATTGGACAACGATAATTATCCTAACCAAGCTTTTACAATTAATCCATTCAGGAAAGATTATAATGAATTGTATAGAAACTAAAAAATATGTGTGAAATATTTGAAAATCGACCTCAGTTTGAATATGTACATTTTGCAATTAATCACCCAATCTTCTGTTTTGATCCATCAGCTTATCAAGAAGATCTTTTCAAAACAGGAGTAAATATAAGTATCTATATTGAAAAAACACGAGAAGTAACAGGTTACTGTTTATCATTGGAAGAAGCAAAAGATTTAATTAAAATAGCAGATAAAAGGATGATAAGAATTGAATAAAACATACACCTCATAAATGAAACCAGAAACTTTAGTCAAGAAAAAGATAGAAGCTATCGAAACAGGATCACCAACTATAATAACTTACAATGGTAAAAAGATTAGCATATCTCAAAAGGTTATTGATAAATATCAATATTGTAAAATCAGAGATGAAAATAGACTTAGAAAGAATTGACACAAACGCAAAGGAAGGTGAATTTTTACCTCTCCTACTTTAGATATTTGGAGGTATTGCAGCGGTTGATGCAGCCGCGGTAGCTGCTGCAGTATCTGCTGCAGTCAAATCTGCCAACGCAAAGAAAGCAGCTGATGCTCAAAACGCTGAGGATCGTAGACATAATTTGGCAATGGAAAAAGAAGCACGAGGTTCAGGAGTAGCAGAAATATTAGGGACAGTAAAAGAATTTGGAAAACGATTTAGTGAAGAAACAAAAAAACTGTTAAACAAGGATTAAATATATAGACACAGCTTTATGGAACAACAATCACTAGTTAAAGTTTTTATGCAACGTTTCGACGTGTTTCCCCCGTCGTCCTCAGGCACATAATGAGAAGAAGTGAAGGGCAAACTATATATACATTAATGCTTATTATTAAGAACACACAAGAGATAAATGGTTTATTGATACAATACATTAAATTTTAACAGGTACAATAAGAGGTGATAAACTTATCAACTTGTAATTATTCATATTCATAAATGTATTTAATAAACAATTTCCAACTTTAAACATAGTTAGTTATAGGAACAATGTAATTTCTATTAATAAAAGACTCCAATACTAGCAATAGTAACTGTTGTTTATTTAATCTTCAATTAATTTTTTAATTCATTTACTTTATTTCAATTATCTTACTTAATCAGCCTGTATGTTATTTTAAGAATTATGTACCTCTTATTGTACCTGTTAAAATTTAATGTAATGTATCAATAAACCATTTATCTCTAGTGTGTTCTTAATAATAAGCATTAATGTATATATAGTTTGCCCTTCACTTCTTCTCATTATGTGCCTGAGGACGACGGGGGAAACAAGTCGAAACGTTGCATAAAAACCAGTGATTGTTGTTCCATAAAGCTGTGTCTATATATCGTACTCACAATTGCTAAATGCCATTCAAAGGATTAAATAATTTGATAGATAAGACTGACACTGGAGACATGAAAGTCAAACAAAAGGATAATGCTATAGTTTTTAAAAACACCCTTTCTGAAGAGGGAATCTTTTTTGTTTTTGGAACAAAAATATAGAAATAAAAATGGGAAAGAAATACAAATATTCAGAAATATTTCCTAGTAACCCAATGCTCAGGTGCATGTTATTCAAGACATATTTCAATATTATGAAAACAACAAAGAAGAAGTGGAAATAAAAGATATCTTAGAGAACTCCATAAAAGCAAAGAACCCATCTTTCAATCCAACCGACATAAAAGTGTTTCTTACTACAAATGCCAATGATCTGCACTCTAATATTGACAGCAACCGAACGAACTTAATAGTCTTTGACGACTGTGTAACACAAAAAAGTCAAGCTGTTCAACAAGTCAAACAAAAGGGTAATGCTATAGTTTTTAAAAACACCCGTTCTGAAGAGGGAATCTTTCTTGTTTTTGAAATAAAAATATAGAAATAAAAATGGGAAAGAAATACAAATATTCAGAAATATTTCCTAGTAACCCAATGCTCAGGTGCATGTTATTCAAGACATATTTCAATATTATGAAAACAACAAAGAAGAAGTGGAAATAAAAGATATCTTAGAGAACTCCATAAAAGAAAAGAACCCATCTTTCAATCCAACCGACATGAAAGTGTTTCTTACGACAAATGCCAATGATCTGCACTCTAATATTGACAGCAACCGAACGAACTTAATAGTCTTTGACGACTGTGTAACACAAAAAAGTCAAGCTGTTCAACAAGAATATTCTTCACGAAAGGAAGACATCACAACTGTCACGGTATATACCAATCCCAATCCTTTTACGGAATGGATGCTATGTTTATTAGAAAGAACGCAAATTGTTTTTCATTATTCGAATTAATCGACGAAGATTTATCTCAAATTATTCAGTCAATAAATCACGGAATGGATAGAGACGCGAAACGTGGCAATATGACTTAGTAATGTGTCTTGATTACGCACAGAAATTTTCAGAACGATCAGACACCCCATACATACTATGTTAAATCAATCGCCAAAGTCATGCCACGATTCCCCTATTGCTGCATCGCACCATATCACTTCCGATCGCGATATCGACACATTACTAAGTCATATTGTCACGTTTCGTGTCGATATCGCGATCGGAAATGATCGGGGTGTGATGCAGCAATAGGGGCATAGTGGCATGACTTTGGCGGTTGATTTAACATAGTATGGAGTGTGTAATATATCTGATTGCTGTGAGTAATCAAGACACATTACCAAGTCATATTGCCACGTGTCGGGTGATCGGGGTGCGATGCAGCAATAGGGGAACTGTGCTATGACTTTAGTGATTGATACACGACGGGAAAGGGTTACCTTTGAAATCAATTCCTTATACAATTGACTTCTTCTTTCTGACGCCTTTTTCCGTTGTGATATAAAAATCAAAAACCAAAACAGAATTCCACAAAAAATGTTACACTAGAAAAAAAATGCCCCCTCTTTATTCAGCGAAATGGTTTTAGAATCAAGTGCAAATATTATTAAAACCATTAAACACCCAGGTAAATCTGACACCATGTTGAAAACTCTACTTTATCCCAAATAATTATACCACGTCATCAGGGTTGGTTCCGGATTTGCGAGATAAGGGAATTCAAAACAATCAAGAGGACATTGTGGGTGATGCCAACGAAGGAACAGTTAGAACTGTCGTTAGAAATTTGATCAATGTCTATAAAGAATATAAAAAAGAGTTTTATATAATCAAACTGTTGATGCTAACAGTTAAGGAAACTATATTAATTGGCCTTTCTATCCACTTTTCGGTTAACTTGAACATAGAAAGGTTTACATTGGTCTCCTTTTCAAATTCCATCTTCAAAGGAGAATACATAATGATAGAATAGTTTTTGGAGAAAACATTTCAAATGCTAAATTAGAAATAACAAATATTCAATTATACTTTCCAGTAATGACCTCAACCATTGAAGTAGAAACAAGACTACTTAATAGTTTGACAAAAGATATTGATATAGCATTTTTAACAAGAAACACGATTGGGTCGATAACAATCACAGGTGAGAATTACACATGGCAAGTGACCAACACTACAAAACCCGCAAGATATTCCAGATTCACAAGAAAATAATAATAACCTTTTACAAATAACCGGTGCCAACTTTGGAGATCCTAAAATAAAAACAGTTAAAGTAAGAATGAATAACGAAAATTATCCTAACCAACCGTTAACAATTGATCCAGATACCTAGATTTAACGAATTGTATAGAAATTATAAAACTTTGATTGAGTTATTTGGAAACAACCACAGATTTAATATGTCGATTTTGTTTTAAATTTTACAATATTTTGCTTTAATCTCTCCCCACCTACAAAGAAGATTTGTTCCGAACAGGTGTTCAGCTGTCCGTATATAGCAGCAGGAGAAATGGTCGGGTATTGTTTATTACTAGAAGCATCTCGTCATATCATAAATATAATGGATAGAAAGATGAACAGAATTGAATAAAAAAAATCATTTCTTTTAAAAAATGAAACCAGACACAATTTCTTATAACGGTAAAAAGATGCATATACCAATATTAATTATTAACAATTGAAAAAATAATAAAATTCTAGACGATATCAATTTTGACAAGCGACAAGCAAGCTAAACAATGTGGTTTCCTTTTCCTTCTGCCCTTAATTTTCGGAGGATTTGCGGCTGCGAATACAGTTGCAGAAGGGGCGAGTGAGATAGCCTCAGCGGTAAATTTTAAAAAAAAGGCAGAAGACGGAGCAGTCAGAGAAAAACGTAGACATAATTTAGACATTATTTCTATCATAAATATAATGGATAGAAAGATGAACAGAACTGAATAAAAAAAATCATTTCTATTTAACAAATGAAACCAGAAACTTTAGTCGCGAAAATATTAGAATCAATTGAAAAGGGCAAACACAATTTCTTTTAACGGTAAAAAGATACATATATCAATATCAATCATTCACAATTTAAGAAATCGTAAAATTCAAGACGATATCAATTTTGGCAATCGACAAGCAAGCTAAAAAAGATGGTTTCCTTTTCGTTCTACCCTTAATTTTCGGAGGATTAGCGGCTGTGGATATAGTTGCGAAAGGCGCGAGTGGGATAGCCTCAGCGGTAAATTTAAAAAAGGCAGAAGACGTCGCAGTCAGAGAAAAACGTAGACATAATTTAGAAATGGAACAATTAGTCAAATGTTCGGGCATAAAAGATATCTTATCAACCATCAAACAATTCTACCATGAAATAAGAAAACAGTAAAAGAACGCTTGTCTAAATAAATTGATCAAATCGACACGGGTGAAACGAAGATTAAAAAAAAGAAGGAAAGGGAATAATACTTTAAGACATTCGTACTGGTGATGGTTTATTTCTTTCTGAATACAACCGCACAATTCAACAAGGAGATGGTGTTATACTAAGCCCCCACTAATTCGTGAGTTAAAAAAATTAATATTAAAAAATAGCTTCAAAATTCAAAGATGCAGACAGATTTCCACAAAATCCAATCTTAATGTGTCTAAGAATATTTACCAAAAGAAGACATACACCAAATATTCCAAATATATGAAAACGATGACGATCTAAAACAAAATAAATAAATACAATTTAAGAATTTATAGATTATTGCATAAGAGAAAAGAATTCATCCATCACTCCTACTAATATCCAAGTTTTGCTGACCAAAAATGTGAATGATTTAGATTTGTCCCATATTGGCAAGAAAAGAAAAAACCTAATCATTTTGATGATTGTGTAGCACAAAAATAATTAAACAGTTCAACTAGAATAATGATAAGATTTAAGTCAAATAATTCAATCGATAATCCATGGTGTGCAGAAGGATGAATTAAAAAAAATCAGGATGATCATGATTATGTATTCATTAATGCTAGAAAACCAGCAGGAGTTATGACAAATATTTGTGAAGAGTTGTGTTAAATACTTGATATTATAAAATGTCTGGTGAAACGTCGAAAACTGATTGGAATAAAAAGTATTCAAAAGAAATAAAGAATATATGAAAACTAAAAACCAAATGGAATCTAAAAATTGAAGATAAAAGATCATTACAGATGGGTTTGGATGAAAATTGAAGAATCGATAAACTAATTAATTTTTGGTAATGAAAAGGCGCATGAATTTCATACCATTCGGTACTAAAAGGTGTTATTATTCGGTAGTATAAAGACGAATTTTCAAATAGCTGCAAAGCCGGAAGTTCAAATTGCACAACAACAATGAAAATAT